AGTGAGTAATTATGTACGGGTTTTATATATATACACAATAAATAATCGTATAAAAATAAAAATGGGAATGGATTTTCTTCATATTACTTAACAATATATCTTAACCCAAAATTTTAAAATATTAAATTCATAGATGATTTCATTGATATGTTCATTTTTTAGCTCATTTCTATTTGATGCGAGATTTTATCCCACATATTTAAATTTCCAAAATATTTATAATACCAAATGATACATATTCTCTGTAAAATTTGGTATAAAAAATGGTCTAAAAAAATTGTTAAATAATCACTTCTTAGCAAAAACTTCTCTGTTTTCATTCATGAGAAAATTTTCATATTCATTACTATACGCATGCTATTATTAAGTTATTTACGGACGAATCATTCAACTAAAAAAGAAATGAAAATTCACACTTCACTTTTTCTAAACACTCTAAAGGTACACATTGTTAGAACAGAGAGTAATCACTCACACAAATCATAAATAGAAAAGAGAGAAAAAGAAGATAGAACGGAGATATAGATTTACCTCAACCAATGTGGACTAGGTGGTCTAATAACATTTAACCATATTCTCCTTATCGCATTTTGTTACAAAGTACTATATTTACAATGGAAAAATAAATAAGCTTACAAATCCTAAACAACAATGAGTATTCATGAGTCAAATCACAAACAACTTAAAAAGTGTGGTTGAGAGGGGGGATGTACCTAAGCCTCACAATAATATAATAAGGGCTCCGGGATTCTGAGGCAGCTAGATCTTATGATGTACCGATACTAACATGGGATACGACATTATATGTCGACACGTTAATTATAAAAAATATCATATTTCAACATATTGTGACACGTTCTGATATTAAATTATATTTTTAATATATATAATAATTTATATTTAATACATATATCAATTCATAATAAGTCATATAAATAATTAAATATTCAAATTTCATAACATAAATATAAACAGAAACAATTTTTCGTACTTTGTTAATGTAACATCCCGCTTAAATTAGAAAATTTATTTTAAATACAATGATGGATGAGTATTTATTTTCTGAAGTCGAAATACTAGTTAAAAGGATAGGATTAATTTAATCACAACATATAAAAATCCTAGTTAATACTTAGAAGGTACATGAAATAATAATTAGTAGATTACATGAGATAGGGGTCATGAAGAGATGATTTTGGACCCCATTTACACTCTATGGGCTACGACCCAAGCACCTTAGGGGAAGCCTCAAATCAGCCCAAAACTTTCCTACACTTGATCCATGACAAACCCTTATCCATTGGTATCCTAAGGAATCAGCATGCATGTTTCCCCATTGGTCAAAAAGCCACACCTTTTCTCCTCATCACCTCACTACTTGTGCGCCCAATAGAGATACACCAAGTCTGATTTTTCTTTGCTGGGCTTTGGTTCAGATTGTGAGTTAGCTGTATCACCCCCTCTCTTTCCTTCCATGCGCATAAGTAAGGGAACACAATCAAAACTCAGCCTACTCCTCTCCTTCACAAACCACCATCTTCAAAGAAGGACACATAGGCCTAAGTTACATTTCCTTTCCTCTCATCCCCTCTCAAGGCCGCAAGTCTCCCTAGAGAAGAACACAAAGAAAAATTGCATCTCATCCCCCATTTTCCCCACAAGCCGTGAGTCCCATAAGAAGAGAACAAAACACCTAAGCTTACCCTTCTTCTCTTTTGCTTGTCCGGCCGTGTACCATTAAGCAAGGAGGTGTAGTATCTTCTCTACCTTCTTGTTCCTTCTTCCTCTCTTCGATTTGATGAGGATTTTCTCTTGCAAGCAGATTGAAACCTTAGCTCTACAATCTTTTCTTCTTCCCTTGTGCGCACAGCCAACCTCAAGTAAGAGAAGCTTGAACTCGATTTCTTGGAGCATAGGAAGGTGAAGGGCTGCTCCTTGTCCGATTTGTGATCCTTTGTGTACATGCAAGAAGGTACCAACGAAAATCAGTTTCCCATTTTACTCTACTCTGTTTCGGCCTGCATGTATGTTCTAGGAAGTTAGTTTTTTTGTCATTCCTTTTCCTTTCTGTTCAGCCATAAAACCCTTGGCCCTTGGTGCATGCAAGTCTAAAGAATCAATTTTTGGAGCTTGGAAAATAGCCCTCATCGTTGGTTGGACTGTTTTGTTGGACTAGAATGATGTACCTAGCTTTGCATGTGTTAAAAATTAAGTGGACAACATGCTTAAAGGTCTCACTAGCGCACCCATAAGCCTTGTAGAGAAGGTTTGTAAATAAATAAATTATGTGCTCCTAGTTCCTGTTAAAACCGAACCTGCATGTGTAGGCAACCTTGGGATTATTTTTTTGTTACTTGCTAACAATTGGTAGAATAAAATTAAGGAAAAAAACTTTTAGCATTGGAAGCATGATAAATCGATTAAAATACAAGAATTGGAAGCATGGAAATTTGCTTGTGATGTATAGGATAACATGAAATAAAATTCTGACTTGTTATACATGCATATAGGTGTGCAAATCTCTAAGAGAGTGGATTGAATTGGTGTTACTTTTGGTTAAATATTTGCAAGTATCAAGGTAAGTGTAGGTGGTTCAACCTTTTGTGACTATTATTAGTTTAGTGCTTGAATTTTTGAATTGTTGCTCATGTGTCCCTATATATATATATATATATTCTGCTGGAAAATATTGTAAACTGCCTTTGGAGTTGGACTTGTTGGAATTCTGTTTTGGGAGACTTATTATATTCAAAATTTTGGGTGTCATGGTCCAAGAGAACTATGACTTTTTTATTCTGAATTTTTAGTCATGCTCATGAACATCTTACATCAATCTTTTGTCATGTGTGTGTGAAGCAAGCATTGCATTTCATACATCATTATTCATGCAGTTATGCAAATCGTAAATATTTATGAAAGGAAGCATATGTTTGAGCATACATCATATAGGCATCCCTCAGGTACCAGGGAGAAGGAACTGTGGCTCAGTTCGCATAGGTCTCAATTGGAATTCCCCTCTGTTTGGGCCAAATGGAATCTCCGTTGAGTTAGATAGTATATGCACTGTAGTGCTATGAACATACATTATTCTGGCGTTATATACGCATTCTGTTGCGTTTTAGTATCTGTTCGGAAATTATTTGGTGATGCGGTTGTTTTGGAAATTCGGTATCTAGACTAATAATGTTGCACTATTGGTTTTTCTGCCACACTACTGGGATTTTTCTCACCCCTTTTTTGGGCTCAATTTTTATAAAATTGCAGGGGGAAGAGGAAGTATTTGATGCAGTGTACTCTTGGTAAATTCTGTTTGACGTTACTACTATATGTCTGCTGATTTTGGCTGTTTTGAAGTGTTGTATTCGTTAATATGATGTAATGTTTTGTAAAGACCGGAAAATGTTGGAAGCATGTCTTGCCTTGCTGTAGTTTGATGTTTAAGTTTTACCCGAACTTATGTAACTAAAGTATTTGATTTGACAAAACCATTTCTACCTGATTTAAATTCGGAATTTTAGCACTGATTTAACATGCACCTTGCGAGTTCTGTTTTCGGGGCTACAGACCTCCGAATGAGCTAAATTTTATATTTATTTAAAGCCCCAGATGTCTACTTTCTTCGTGTCAAAGAAAAATTTCAAAAGCGTGTAAACTCGATTTTATATGATTTTTGCAAGACAGACAGGTTTTCAAAAAAAAATTCAATTTCAGCAAGCAATGTGTTTTATAAAATTCCAGCTGCTCCTATGTGAAACCCGATTTCTATACATGTTTTATCACTCGAGTAAAATATACGTCTCTTTAATTGAATACGTTGACATTGCGGCTCTAATCGGTTTTAGCAAGCATCTCCCTTGGATGCATACAAGGGAGGGTATCACACTAAATGGTATTAGAGCAGTTTTGGTTCATGGTGTGTTGTATGATTGCTGTATTGGTTGCTGTTTGAATTTGACTGTGAAATTGTTTGCTGGTTGCTATATGATAGAATGCAGAATTAAAATGTTGAATTGTCTGTGTTATGAGAGGCAATTGTCGAATTATTTGTTTAAGTTATGGTAATTTGTATAATTAGAATGTTAGAATTATACAGTGATGAGAAAAGATGTATTGTTAGCTTTTCTTATTAGAACTCGAGTACGTATTTGGAATTGCTATCATTTATATCTTGTGGTGAGTCTGATCAGCTCATTTCGTGGTATTGTGAGTGTAGAAACATGGCAGGTACACGGGGATCTACTCAGGGAAGGACTAGTAATGCACCTAATGATCTTATCACTACTGTTGGGGGGTTGGCCACTTTTGTTCAGAATATGAGTCAAGAGTGGAGGGAATATAGAAATCAAAATCCTAACCAACCACATATGCATGATAATGCTGAGGAGATTGCTAGACGGAGGTTGAAAGACTTCCGAAATTTTCAGCCACCTATATTTGAAGGTGGAGATAATCCAGAGATTGCAGCAAGATGGTTGCAGATGATTGAACACATCTTTGAACGTATGGGATGTCCTGAAGCTCACAAGGTTGACTATGCCTCGTATCAGCTGATTGATGAAGCTTTGACTTGGTGGACGAGTGCAAGGGCTTTACTTCGAGCACAACATGTTGACCTCACTTGGGAGGTGTTCAGACGGGTTTTTCTTGACAAGTATTTCCCTAAGGCTATGAGGCGAATGAAACACACTGAGTTGCTGGAACTGCGGCAGGATAATATGACTGTTAATGAATATATTGCAAAGTTTGGGCAGCTGATGGAGTATGCTAATTTTGATCGGAACATTTATGATGAAGAAGGGCAGGTGGAAAAGTATGAAAGTGGACTGCATCCAGAGATCCGCAAGCTTATGTTGACTACCGCAAATCGTACTCTTCCTGAATTGATTAATCAGAGTAGGCAAGCAGAAGAAATTATAAATGAAGCTAAGAATTTGTCTAAACAGCCAGTGTAATCACAAGGAGGAAGTAAAGTTGGTCGGTTTTTCAGGAAGATTACGGGAATGAATAGAGGCAAGGGTCCGCAGTTGCAACCTCTGACTGGAAACTTCAAGAGGAATAATGCTTCTGGACAATCATCAGCCGGACGACAGGGTCCCAATGCTTGTGCCACTTGTGGGAAGAATCATACTGGTATATACCGACGCAGGAATAATTTGTGCTACAGGTGTGGACAATCGGGACACTTCATTTCTGATTGCCCACAGAATGTTAATCAGCCTCCTACTCAAGCTCAGGTGTTCACTCTTGATGCCAATGAAGCTCAAAAGTATCTGAATCTGATCCGAGGTAATGTAATCTTGAATGGTTATCCTCTTTCTGTTATTTTTGATTCTGGAGCATCAGGTTCTTTTATTGTGGGGCACACTGCAATGAGACTAGGTCTCACCCCGACTCCATTACCTTATGAGTTACAAATCAGTACTCCTACTGGAGGATCTTGTACTGCATCAGAAATTTGTAAGGGTTGTATTCTACAATTTGAAGGAAGTACTTATACGGTGAATTTAGTAGTTCTACCGGTATTCAGCCTTGAGGTGATTATCGGTATGGACTGGTTGGCGGAGAATGGAATAACTTTGGATTGTCAAGCAGGAAAGGTCATCGTTCCTTCTAAAGAGGGTAATTTTCAGTCCTTTGATATTATTTCCTTATTACAAGTTAGAAAAGAACTCCTTCGGGGAGCTGAAGGGTATTTGTTGTTAACGGAGTCTGAGAGCACGGTTGATACTCAACTTCAAAATATTCTTGTTGTTAATGAATTCGAGGAGGTGTTTCCTGATGAAATTCCTTGATTACCCCCTCATCGGGAGATAGAATTTGCCATTGAACTTCTTCCTGGAGTTGGACCTATTTCCATTGCTCCTTATCGTATGGCACCACTGGAACTTCGGGAACTTAAGAAACAAATAGAAGAGCTTTTGTCAAAAGAATTCATCAGACCCAGTACTTCCCCATGGGGTGCTCCAGCTATTTTTATCAAGAAGAAGGATGGTAGCCTGCGTTTGTGTGTAGACTACCGTCAGCTGAACAAGGTGACAGTAAAGAATAAGTATCTGCTTCCTAGAATTGATGATCTGATGGACCAGTTGAGAGGTGCTAAGGTGTTTTTCAAAATAGATTTGCGATCGGGATACCATCAAATCCCGGTTAAATCAGAGGACATTCCGAAAAAGACATTCAGGACTCGATATGGTCACTATGAATATCAGGTGATTCCGTTCGGACTTACTAATGCTCAAGCAGTATTCATGGATTATATGAACCGTATATTTCGCCTATTCTTAGATCAATTTGTCAATGTATTTATCGATGACATTCTGATTTATTCTACCAATGAAGAAATGCATGCTGAACATTTGAGATTAGTTTTACAAATCCTTAAGGAGAAACAATTGTATGCCAAGTGGTCAAAGTGTGAGTTCTGGTTAAGTGAAGTCCAGTTCTTAGGACACATAATTTCAGCAGAAGGTATTGCTGTGGATCCCAGCAAAGTGGAAGCAGTAATGAATTGGGAGCGACCTAAGACCGTCACTGAAGTGAGGAGTTTCTTGGGACTTGCAGGTTATTATCGTAGATTCATCCAGAATTTTTCTCAGTTAGTACAGCCTCTCACACGTCTCACTCAGAAAGGAGTGCCTTTTGAGTGGACTGACGCTTGTGAAGAATGTTTCGTGGAGCTAAAAGGTAGATTGACCAGTGCTCCTGTGCTTACTATTTCGGACCCAACCAGAAAGTTTGAAGTGTATTGTAATGCGTCTCTAAAGGGACTTGGTTGTGTGTTAATGCAAGATCATATGGTCGTAGCTTATGCCTCACGACAATTAAAGCCTTACGAGGAAAACTATCCTACTCACGACCTGGAGTTGGCAGCCATAGTGTTCGCACTAAAAATCTGGAGACATTATCTGTATGGCTCACAATTTGATGTTTTCAGCGATCAAAAGAGTCTGGAGTATTTGTTTGATCAGAAGGAACTAAACATGAGGCAACGACGGTGGATGGAATTCTTGAAGGATTATGAATTTGAACTCAAGTACCATCCAGGCAAGGAAAATGTAGTAGCTGACACTTTGAGTCGAAAGACTCTTCATACTGCAACCCTGATGATAGAAGAACTAAAACTACTTGAAGCTTTTCGGGATCTGAACTTGTCTGTCATTAGAAGAAGGCGTGGAATAAGGTTGGGCAGAATCAAAATAGAGAATGAGTTACTACGTAGAATAAAGAGGGCTCAAAGAGAAGAGGAACTAGTCTATAAATTGGCTGGTTACCAAGATGTCGTTTGGGATGAAAATAAAATGCTGAGGTTTCAAGGCCGGTTAGTAGTGCCGAATGACGAACTAAAACAAGAAGTTTTGCGAGAGGCCCATAAGGGTAACTATACCGTTCATCCTGGATCCACTAAAATGTACCATGATTTAAAGACTTCGTTTTGGTGGCCGGTATGAAACGTGATATTGCAGAGTATGTAGCTCGATGCTTAACATGTCAGAAAGTGAAGTACGAACATCAGAAACCTTCGGGACTTCTTCAACCTCTGGAAATTCCCGAGTGGAAATGGGATAGTATTGCCATGGACTTTGTAGTTGGACTTCCCCGGACGCGAGAATGATTTGATGCCATATGGGTAATTGCTGATCGGCTTACAAAATCAGCCCATTTCTTGAGTGTCCGAACAACGTATAACACAGAAAAGCTTGCACAGATTTATCTTCGAGAGATTGTGAAGTTGCATGGAGTTTGATAACTCATATTTTATTACACTTATTAGTTACTCTTTATTAGTAGTTTTAGGATTTATTTGAATAAAATAATGATGTTTTGAGTTAATTTACATTTTTAGTGTTTGATTGGGTTTAATTTATTTTCGTCAGAATTTTTCAGCTTTACGTTACTTCTGTATTTTGGCTATATCCCGGTCCACAGTTGTCGGATTGACTTCGTTCTTGTTGCGTTTTTCAGATAACACAGAGAGCTACAATTCTTATGCAGAGCTCTAAGCCCAATTCAGACTGGAAGCTGGTCTATTTCTGACGTCAATAAGAACGTGTTTTGCTGAAGTTTTAGACTTGTAATTTAAAACCCAATTACTTAAGTGGCCCAAAGCCAAGTTTTATTTTATTTTATGTCATTTATTTTATTTCGCATTTTAGATAGATGGGCCGATCAGAACTGAACCCTAACCCGCTTTGGGTAGGGGTATATGACGGCAGAGTAGGAAACATTTGTTTCATTATGAATTTTCGAAATTGAGGATCAAAGTATTTTCTCTGAAGCGTTCTTCGCGCTCTTCGTGTTCTTCATCTTTTTATTCTTCTTCTTTTTATTTTAATCATGTTTACCTTAGCCATGCGAGGCTAAGAACCTTTTAATCAACCTAAGGGTAACGGATTCCATGGATTAGTCTTGAGGGTCTGCGTTTATTTTAAATCAGTTTCATTTTCCTTCCAAACTCAGATTGATATCGTGCGATCGTGGATATTCAATCTGAGGTTCGCGATTGCGATTATGGAAAGGGATTAATCATCAGATTTGATGATTAGGTTGATTGACCCTATGACCTTAAATCAAGTGGGCTGATACTCTACGATTGTATGAGTAGAAGCATCGTCTTTGATCAAATGCTAAGCGATCCCTTAGAGAGGGTTGTCAATTGGAAATAAGGATTCTGATTCGATTGACAAATCAATCACGATTCTGATATCTTCTTATCCGAGGAAAGACGTCCATGGAACCCAAACCTTAGGTTGGTTATTTTTAATTACGAATTTTAAATCCAATTTCATATTCTGCCTTTTTAATTATTCAACCAAAATTCAAAAAACCCCCCCCCCCCCTTTTAATTTCTGTTTTGATAAACGATTTTTACCCAAGCAATTTCCTTGAGAGAGACGACTTAGGGTTTCCACTCTACTACAAATTTTCTGAACCCTAATAAAAAAATAATTTTTAATTTGCTCGAGTTCGACAGCTCGTGTCAAATTTGGCACCGTTGCCGGGGAAATTGCATCGGTCTAAATCGTTTTCTGAATTTGATCATCATCTTCTTCTTCTCTAGTTTTCGTTTCTGTTTCTGAAAAAAAAAACCGTAAATTTCTGTTTGCGGCCCTGTCTTGTTTTTGCGTTTTGCACTCGATTGCGTTTTTTATCGCTCTTAAAATTGGTGACCTGAAGAAGACGATCATCCTTGTCAAAAAATCGTGGGGCTTTGCCCCACGAATCAGGCCGTAGTTTTGCCGAATTCGTTCGTTTAGTATTTTGTTTTTTGAAAAAAATTTATTACATTTTTGAGTCCGTAAGGTCATTTAGAGTTTAGGAGAGTTGGTCTCATATCATTCTGACTTCATTTAGTATTTTTTATAGATTTATTTTTGTTTCTGTTTGCTATGAATCCAATTTTTCACCCTACAGATGCTTGTCTTTCCTTTCCAGACAGCGATTTTCAAGTTGATCAGTCTGTTGCTGCAGTTTTTCCTGAAAAGCCACAGTACCAGCAAAACAATCCCTTCTCCAATACATATAATCTTGGCTGGAAAAATCATCCCAATCTCAAATGGAGCCAGAATCAGCAAAGTGAACCATTCCAGCAGAGGCAGCAGTTTGTACCTTCACAACAGAGGAAAAATTTTCAACAATTTGCACCTCCACAGCCAATGCAGCAGCAGCAAATGCAACAACCACCAATGCAGCAGCAAGCTAGTAGCAATGGCCCTTCTTTGGAGGATTTAGTGAAGCAGATGGCAACTAACAATCTGCAGTTCCAGCAGATTACTGAGTCTTCCATCCAGAATCTGCAAACACAGATTGGCCAACTTGCAACGTCAATGAGTCAAAATCAACAAGCAAGTGGCAGCTCCCTTCCATCCCAAACAGTTCCAAATCCAAAAGGAAGCAGAAATGTGAGTGTTATTACTCTGCGGTCTGGAAAGCAAATGGAGGAGCCAAACCACACTACTGATGAGTCATCTAAGGGAGGTGACACTAGCTCCAAGAAGTAGAGCACTGATACATCTGATGTCCATATCCCTCTGCCATTCCCTCAGAGAGCCACTCAGTCAAAGAAGCAGTCAGCAAAGGCTCAAGATAAAGAGATACTTTACACCTTCTGGAAAGTTGAGGTGAACATCCCTCTTCTGGATGCAATACAGCAGATTCCGAGATATGCCAAGTTTCTAAAGGAGCTGTGCATCAACAAGAGGAGACTGAAAGGAGATGAGCAGGTTAACCTGAGTCAGAATGTATCAGCACCCATCCAGCCTATGCCTAAAAAGTGTCAAGATCCAGGGACATTTACTATCCCTTGTGTGATTGGCAATTCTATTTTTCATGATTACATGCTAGACTTAGGAGCTTCCATTAATGTTATGCCTGCATCTATTTATAAGTCTCTTGGTCTTGGTCCTTTGCGTGCTACTAGTATTGTGGTTACATTAGCTAACAGGAGTAGTATTCACCCATCTGGTTTGATTGAGGATGTATTGGTCAGGGTTAATAATCTTATTTTTCCTGCTGACTTCTACATTTTAGAAATGGAGAGTGAGACTGCTACTAATAGATCACCAATCATACTTGGTAGGCCTTTCATGAGAACAACTAGGACCAAGATAGATGTTCATTCTGGTACTCTTTCCATGGAGTTTGGTGATAGCATTGTGCATTTTAATATATTTGATGCCATGAAACATCCTAGGGAAGAGCATTCTGTTTTCTGCATTGATGTGATAGATGAAGTTGTTGAGGATGTTTCTGCTGAATTTTTTACTGATTTTCCTGATTTTTCATCTACTCATGA